TTGGGGGTGGTGGGTGGGGTGGGTGGCCCGTGGGTCTGGCCTGGGGACAAAGGGACAGCAAGGCTTTAACAAGAACAGCCACAAAACACCCAGTTCCTTCAAAGATGATTTTAAAAACGTGTGTTTCTCCCCCCTCCTATTGCAAGAGGGGAAGGGGGATTGAAATCTACGGCCCCCGTGTTGGAGATGGCTGATGGTCCCTAGCATGAGGCAGAGGGACATGTCCTCATCTGGGGTAAACCACCCACCTGGGCGATGGTTCGCAGTGGGGAGGAGAAGCCAGGGAGCCATCAGGGTCACTCTGGGACATGGCGGGACATCCCCGGCTGCACAATCTCCCCCCCTCCCGGGAAGCAGGACCAGGGGGTGGCTTCAGAGGGACCCGTGCGGCCTCTCCCCACAGACGGCCAGAGGCCATCCCGGCTCTCCTGGAGGCAGAGAAGCCATCCCGGCACCGCAGGCCGGGGCCAGGATCCCCAGCCAGGCTGGGCAAGAGCGCAGACGCGTCTGAAGCTGCAGGACGTTCGCAATCCTCCTGGAATCTGTCAACACGCGCCCCGTGCCAATTCGCAGCGCCGCCGGAGAAGCGAGGAGCTTTGGGGGGGAAAGCCGCGTCTCCAGGACCCGCTCCCCCAGGCATCCTTCGCACGGCCAATGGCTTATTAACCCTTGTTAGCTTGCAATTAATTCTCCCTGCTCCCAGGCCAGCTGGGAAAGCGGGATCCCTGCGATTTGGGGATTTCCTATGGCGCAGTCAGCTCTGTGAGCACTTCCTAAAGAAAACCATGGCCACGTTCACAACCTGGTGCAAAACCACAGCTCTCAGGGCAACAACTCCCGCTTTTGGATGGTCCCAATCTCACCGATACTCATTCAGGGGGCAGATGAGCCCGTGCCCACCAGCAGGTGCACGTCCCAAACCAACGCGCCCGGGACCTGCGGATTTTTCTTGCCCGTTGGGGATCCTTTACCTGTGTGATCGCCGTGGTGGTGGGACTCGGCCATGCCTCCCAGACCGCTGTCCGCTTTGTAGATCTGCGTGCCCGCGTGGTGGCTGAGCTCGGCTCCAGAGTCGGAGTCGCTCTGCCCAGCTTTTACGCTTTTCCTCCTCCGTGGCTGGTATTTATAATCCGGGTGATCCTTTTTGTGCTGGACCCTGAGCCGCTCAGCTTCTTCCACAAAGGGACGTTTTTCATTTTCGCTTAACAAACTGGTTTGGGATGGTGGTAATTTTTTTTTTTTTTTAAATAAGAAGGAGAGGAGGGGAAAAAAAAATATCCAAAATTAATGTTTTTTTCCTAGAAGTTTTCAGCCTATTTTGAGGCTTACACATCCCCACTTCCCATACATTGATTCAAGCAACCAGAAAGTTAATGACAAAATGAATTTGCCATGGCAAAAAAAAAAAAAGCTAAAACTATGTTGCAGAACTGCTTTAAAACATAAACTATAGGAGTTAAAAAAAAGAAAAATGACCACTACAGATACCAATAACCGAGCAAAACAAAATCCCTCTGCCCCGTTTTAAACACCTTTGCCAAATATCATTCCTATGTTTGTCCTACAAATGCCACCCCCTCACCGTGACAAACAACGCTGCCCATTTCCAGCTTTGTTTGCTGCTTACAAAGAAACCACAAAGGCAACAGCCATGGGATTATTTCTTTCAAAACTCTTCCCCTGCCCAGACCTCTTTTTGCAAACTCTTGGAGGGTCTGAAACAGCAGCGGGAGCATCGCTGGCCCAAGTGGGCAGGGAAGAGGCAAGTTTGGTACAGCCAGACACGACCAAATGCACCAAGCGGTAAAACATGGCTCGTCGCAGAGCCTGGGAAAGCAGAGAGCACTTTTTTTTTGTGCAAAAAAAAAGTTTGCATTGGTGTGCAGCGCTGAGCACACAGATAAGAAGGGAAATTAGAAAGAAGATTAAAATAACTGCTAAAAATCGGCTTGTTTGGTTTTACCGCTCGCTAAGCGGTAAGCGAGCAAGGCATGGGGGGGGGAAAAACTTCTAGAAAAAAAAAAATCACTGTAAAAGAAGCAGTTTAAAAAAGTCTCATTCTTCTGCGGACAGGGAGACGGGAAAGCCTGGCCGGGAGAGGAAAGGGCCCGGGCTGCACAGCTCAGTGATGGAGCGGGGAAAATCCACGCGTGACACAGCACCGGGGCAGGACCCGCGGGCAGCGCCCGGTCCGAGCCCACTGCGGCCGTGGGCGCCCACGGCCCTACGCGGGGATTCCGCGGAGCGGGGACCGACACGGGGCGACACGCTCGGGGGTGGGGGTGACAGGGGATTTTTGCACTTCAGTTCGAAACGTTTGAAGAACCCCCCGCGGGCGCGGACGGCCAAAAAAATAAATGAGGTTTTTTTTTTAAAAAAAAAAAAAAAAGAAGGAAAAAAAAAAAAAAAAAAAAAATATTTTTAAAAAGGGGGGGGGG